GAAGTGCTGGACGTTTGCGGAACTCTTGGCAGGTACCTGAAATTACGAAGCTCTATCGCATTCAAACGCCACTGCGAATGTACAAATGGAAGTAGAATGCGTGCCGCATCCCAAAAAGGGATTGATCAACGGCAAATGCTTTATCCTTTTTTAAGGTATTCCTAGGACTTTCTGACACTGCGAGCTCGCTCGACACTCTTGCGGTAGTCCTTCATTCACGACCCCCTCGTTGGATAGAAACTCGCGCAAGTTCATGCCCATTTCTGCGAAAATCTCGCGGGTACATTTGGATTTCTGTATCGCTTCCTCTGGGGACTCCGCTGCTAGGATAAGATTGTCGACGTAGAGGTTTTGCCTTATCTCCTCTTCCAGTCTTCTGTCACTCACTGCGTTGCGAAGATGGAAATGGACTGTTGCTCCAAGAAGGAAAGGCGATACGTTGATACCAAATGTAACCCTGGTAAACCGATACCGATACGTACGTTATGTTTTCTTCTGTGGGGTCTTTTTCATAGTCGCGTACCCAGAAAAATCGCGTTGCGTCGCGGTCGAGTTCGTGTAAGCGAACTTGAAGGAACGCTTTCTCCACATCTGATGTGACGACGAATTTGGACACTCGGAAGCGTAGAGTTATAGCGTGCATAGCGTAGAGTTCAGGTAAGATAAAGGGACTCTGATGTAGAATATCATTCAAAGCGGGGCAATTTTTAAAATGCGAGGAAGCGTCAAAAACTATGCGTAGTTTGGTGGTTTGCTTCTGAGGCGTAATGACTGGCTGGTGAGGGATGTAGTGGACTACCTCTCCGTCTCTCATTTGGAGTTCTGGTACTTCTTCAATAATGCCCTCGTCAGCTGGGTTTTGAAAGCGTAGTGGTAATCCTCGAGGAGTTTTTTGTTGGACCTCAGCATGGTTAGCACAGTGCTAGGGCGCTTCAGCACGATCGTCTTGTTTGAGGAAAGTGAAGTGTGATTTTGTTTGTATGGGAGGCGCACGTAGTAGCCATCGCTTCTCCTTTCAATGGTCTTGTTGAAAAATGACAGCACTTGTTCATTGACTGCTGACCTTTCAGCATCAATTGTGCCAGTGTATTCGCATATTCCTGCCGTGTCCATGGCCCAGTATCTATCCCATTCTGATAAGATCGTCTTCTTCGCCAGTAACGGATTGGATCATTGATACCATACTGGGCGTAATCCCAATTTTCTGTTCGGAATGTGGCAGGGCAACCGTTGCTTCTCCAGTGAGCAGATATCCCAGTTTTCGAGGGAATGAGGTGTAGCCCAGACGGTAGCGTATATTGAGGGGAAGGATCACTCAGTAAGCCCCATAGCTGGTCACAGCCTAGAAGAATTTGTGGGGTGGACTTCCTGCGAGTACCTTGCCTTGAAAGCTCTAGTTTATTGCCTGTAATAAAACTCATATCCTCTGCGGCAAGGTGCGTCTCCGTTCCTGTTTCAGTCAGTATCGGTATTGTGTGTGAGTACAGCTTGTCTTCTTCTCCTTGGTTTTCCTTAAGTTGCGTCCAAGCGACTCCACTTCTTCTCTCTGTAGGTACTGCGGAACCAAAGGTGTAAATGTTGAAGTCCTTTCGTTTCGCTGGGTGTGAGGCCTAATTCCTGCGTAAGGGTTTGGTTTATAAAGGATTGATCTGCTCCAGTATCGAATAGGATCTCGACTGGTTGCCACTCCCTCTTTATAGCATTCCAAACTTTTCCTACCCCTGTTAAGAGTAGCACACCTTCGTTGTCATTGTGTGTTACCGTATGGGTGCTATATGCGCTCATTGTGTCCGTATCCTCCGTTAACTATCCCTGAAATGGAACCTTGTATAGCGTTCTCACATGTATGCGTGGATACGGGGTTGCCTCTTGTATCCCTAGTGTTTGAACACGTCGTAGTGCTTCCTGCTTTCTGCTGCGCACTTTGATTCTGTGTTAGTGATGGTTTGTGCTAGTAGGCGGAAAATCCTGGTGTTTTTTTTTAAATTCCCCCACTCTTTGAGCTCATAAACCTGATTCGTGCTTCTTTCCTCCGCAGGACCTGTATCCTTCCCTTTTGCAGTCCTTCACCCAATGTCCCTCTCGTCCGCAGTTGAGGCACATGTTCCTCTTAAAAAGGAAGTTGCGTCGTTCGGCAATGGTGCCATAACTAGGCCTGTGTTCCGAGGATTTGCAGAACATGCATGTTTTCTGTGTTGTGGAAGCTATAAATGTTTTCCTCCAGCCTGATTCTCTGTCGTCATAGGCGATCCCTTGTTTATTGACCATTTCATCTATGCGCTCTTCTGTGCTGATCTGAGTGTCTACTGCTTCTACTATGATTGCCATTTTCCATTGGCTTTCTTCCATATTTGGTGTCACCAACTGTTCCAGTACTTTCCGCTGTATGCGAACTGCGAACTTGGAGAGCACCTTCTGGGCGTTGTATATGATCCATCTAATACAACGCCTAGTTTTTGAAGCTGTGTAACGATCGGGATGATCGTTTCCAATAGCTTTCTCTGAGCTTGTATTGTTGCACTTTCCGCTGTCGTCTCCTCAAGACGACGTTGAAGAGCGTCTATAAGTTGAGAAAGGTTACCGTACTTCTTCTATAAGGGGTCTGCTGCAAACGTATAATTTTCTTCCGTGATTGGGAATCGCTTGATAAATTGACGTGCCTCACCACGTGATGCTGATATCAAGGTAACTGAATTTTCGTAGGTCGCCAAGTGAATGCTGACCGTCCACATTGGCCTCAAATAGTGTCCAGAAATTGGAGAATTCCCATATTTTTCCCTCAAAACCGGTATTGGGACAGGTGGTAGCTTGGGTGCGAGTGCGTTCAGTTGATGAGGACCCCTTGGAGGCCGGCTTGGCTCATATGCGGCTTAAGTATCTAGCGCACCCATGCGTTTGGCCAAGTTGCAATGCGAGCTTCTCAGCGTTGTCAACTGCGTTGTGGGCCTTCTCTATATAGTCCTCTACCTGCGCTTGCTGATCCGCGGGTAAGGGCCTCCCCTAGGCTATCCAATGCGTCAACCAATAGATCGATTTGATCTAATACCAATCGAACCGATCCTTTCAGTTCGACCACATATTCGGTCACTTCCTTCCCATGTGGTGGGGCATCGCTCAAGGGGCGACTTCATTCACGCATTTGTTAATGAGTCCTACCAGATTGTTGCAGTATCGCGTGAGGAGGGACTTCCTTGTTTTCAGTGCCATTGGACCCGACATGGTTGTTTATGGTGATGATTTTTGGTTAATCGATTGTTTACCGAGATGTGGGAATAAAATGAAAAGAAACTGAACTCGAAAAGAAAAAATTCCAATCAAAGAAAAACTAGCAGAGTAGCGGAAGTCATAACAACCTCCTAGCTTAGCGATGAAGAATCTGAGTAACAGCGATTTCTTTGTCGGTTTTCTCAGCTGTGTCGCCCGTGTGGGAGTGAAATCTCAAGTTAAGTGGTGCCCAAGATATAGTCTTGGAGAAAGCTCACGTAGCCTTCACTGGGCATACTGTTGGATGCACTATCAAGGGGGTATGCCGGCTCATGGATTGAATTTTGTGAAAGTCTGCTGCAGAGCCCATTATGAGCTGCACAATTGGTCGTCCAAAACTTCATTATAAGGTAGCAGATTGTTTGTTGCGGTCCATGTGGAGCTGAAGAAGTGCACGAAAGAGTGAAGTGAATGTGTCACTAACAGCTGCTGTTAAGAAGGGATGAGATGAAATCATAAAGGATGTCATGCGGGCAAGGGTCATTGGTAGGGTACGTTTGAAAAAAATCGAGTTTTCCGATTAATAAGAAACCTTATCAAATGTTTGAAAGGATATGGCCTAACGCTGCTGCACTTGGTATCCTGTCCTACCCTTCTTGTTTGAACTGGGCTACAATTACTTTGTCACGATATCTATGCCCCACCCCTCTACTTGGAGATGACCATCTTGTGCTTCCCGTTTGGCCATCGTTGCAAAAAATTGTAAAGTATGAGGATGGCGATCGGCTGCGTTGCACTCAGCGAAGATAGTCCAAAATCCAACACGAATCAGAGATCTCTCCCAAATGTACCATTACGCGTGCGTTCTCCACAGCACTCTGCTCCAGACGTAGCTGTCAATGCGCGGTTGCCATAAAGTGGTAGGCTTAATATCTCTGATCAATATAGACGGTACCATTATACCAACTTGGCATTAGAGCAACGGCAAGGGTTCAGAGAAATACGCGAGCTGATATCGAATGGTGCAATAAGAGTGGACGATAAACGAGGAGTAATCGTACTCAACCCTCAATCCTTGGATCGTGCACTAATAGAAATATACTTGCGGGGAACGACCACTTAGTGACGTGCAACATCTAAGAAATTCATCACTGTGCAGGCGTCTCAACCATTTGTATGACACAAGGCAAGTTTGCAGGTCTCGATAAAAGGTTCCTGTAGACTCAGGCTAGACTTTCCAAATTGTCTTGTCTCTTACATCTTGGTGAAAAATCACAAGCTTACGCCCAACGAACTACTGTTAGCTTTGCGAATAATTCGAAAGAACCCCAATTACTACAGGGTGGTCCAAAATTATGAGGACCGCGTGCGCGCGCAGTCATATCCACTTTTTTCCGTATCGCTCCATTTTCATCTCCTTTTCTGTGCACTATGTGAAGGGTACAATGTCTTCTTCCTAATGAAACCAAATTTCATGAAGTTCTCAAAACTAGTGAAATAACTACTTCACTTTGAGTCAGTCCTCAAATTGAACTCACTAGGGGCTCTGGCACGTTACATCTAGCAGCAGTCTAACCTATCAGAGAAGCCCTTATGAGCAACAGTTCAACTCTTCAATAAGTTTGGAACCACCACAGATGGAAAATTCGGGACTCGAAAGTTACAGTTACCACCAGGATAATTATCAGATGCAGAAACTAGGTCTCCCCTTGTCGACTTTCGTACACCCAAAATGAAAAAATTGATGTGAAAACCCAGCCAGACACTCTAAAGATCTGTAGGGATAGAAGCCTCACGAGCAGGGTGAATAACGGTCGAGGAAATCCTCGACAGGGGGTCGTATTTGCTCCGATGAGAGTTGGGAGGGGGTCGTAATCAAAAGGTTCATCAACGGACACAACGGTGCTGCTGCCACTTATTTGCTGTCATCATTAGTTTCACAAGTGTTGTACTTAGCCTAATGCAAATAACATCTTACAAGTGGTTGTTGGTTTGGTTCGTAGTGATCAGTATGGCATAGGAAGGCAACGCGTCCTGCAAAAGAATCGTAGGGAAAGGGCAGCGAGTATCTACTCTAGAATGATGCACATGCTTCGAGAACTTAGTGGAGGAACAGCATCTTGGTAGAAAGTTCAAAACAGGCAGATTCGCAGCCTTCTTGGCATCATCAGATCCTGCAACCGCAAGCTGTCATTCATCAGAACGGGTTGGAAAGGAAGCGATTTGAATAAAGGAATGATCAGACATCACTATGACCACAAGAGTTATCCTAATTAGTTAATACTGGAAATATCTTTTGGTGTGCTTAAGCAAGTCGTCACTAGGACAAAACACCTTCCCAATGACTCCGAGTGGGGTCACTGCATGGCGCATACAAGAACGGAATGGATCTGCGCCAAGTGCATCATTTTCAATTTACTCCATCGAACTGACGTGTACAGAAGCATTTTGAAGTGTTCAAAGAATCTACTACGGTTAAGAATTACTAAGTTTCTCTACTACGGCGAGGGAGTAATAGAGTTTTCGAGTGGCTTCGAAAATTTCCTTGACATTTCCTCGACGCAGATTTCTCGCGAACTAGAAAGCGTTCGAAACAACTGGAGCACCTATCAGAAAGCGTAAATCTTCTACTTTACAACGCTTTCCTCCGATTTTCAAAGCATTGCCAATGAAGACAGCTACTGTCTTCCAAAGAGTGGGAACTCGCATGTAAATTTCAATTTCCTCGACAATTCCTCGACGTCTCCCACTCTCGAGAATAGGCGTGCTTAGAAAAACGCTCAGCACAATTTAGAAACTAGAAGTCTTGTGCATTCAAAAGCTGCCTTCACTTTCTGAAATGGTTATCAATGAAGAAAGTTATAGTCCTTTAAATAGGGGGTACATTTGACGATTTTTCCAACTAGCGCGCTCTAGGCACAGCGCGACGCGATCGCGGGTAGTTAGCGCCGCTATACTGGAGCGCGAGACTGTTCAACTGTGTAGGGGCAGTACCTCCTTCAATGTTCTACTTTCCGGCCAATGTGGCAAAGGTTAAATGTCTTTAAAGGAAAGAAGGAGAACTCTGAGCAGAA